CAGGTTGCCCAGAGAGGTGGTGGATGCCCCATCCCTGGAAACATTCCAGGTCAGGCTGGACGGGGCTCTGAGCAACCTGATCTAGTGGAAGATGTCCCTGCCCACGGCAGGGGGGTTGGACTAGATGACCTTTAGAGGTCCCTTCCAGCCCAAACTATTCTATGATTCTATTAAAAGAAACAGAAAACTAGCCGTTGAGAAAATGTGACAGATAAGTCCCACAGAAATAAGTGAGGAACACAATAGAAAGCACAAGGTTTTTCCAAACTGAAAGCTGAAAACTCCTTCTCTGTTAAAGTTACAAGTTTTAACAATTCAAATATATGAAATGCTGCTTCATACTAGGATGTAATTTGGGTTCATTCACCCGAACTACTTATTACTTACACCATGTAACATGCATGTAACATACTGGGACAGCATTTAAAAGAAACAGAAAACTAGCCGTTGAGAAAATGTGACAGATAAGTCCCACAGAAATAAGTGAGGAACACAATAGAAAGCACAAGGTTTTTCCAAACTGAAAGCTGAAAACTCCTTCTCTGTTAAAGTTACAAGTTTTGACCAGCATGAGTCAAGTAGTTTGACTAAAAGCTACCTATCAACTGACAAGGCCAAACAGGCATACTAAAATATACAGACATAAAGAGAGCTCTGCAAAGAGTTTCCAATAATTTGTTCAGTACCTGATTTCATTCTCAGCCCCGTGACTGAAGCAAGTTGGTTTGTGAAAGATTTCATCTAGACCAAGTGATGAGACTTGCCTGGCTAAATCAGTACTGGGAAAAATATGTCTTCAGAAAAATATATAGCAAGCAACTAAAAGTGATGAATGACATAAACATAAAACATCTACATTTTTAGAAAAAAATAGAAAAGATTATCCATAAAGCTTCAAGCATTGTTCATTGTGCTAACTACTCAAAAAAACCCTTACTACCACAAAAAAATGTGAAATTAATAATAAAAAATAGTATATAATCAAATGCAGAATCTTATGCTAATAAAATCCAGAATTCCTGACATAAAAATTGATCCCTTCAAGTTCCCTTCCTTTGAAGGAAAGTATAGATGAGAAATATATAAAGAATATCTGGTGATTTTGTGGTTATTTTAATAATATACTGATGCATCGCAGGTCTCAAGATAAACTATGATTAGGAGGGAAGGAAAATTTTTGTGATCTAACAGTTATTTTACAGAAAAGTATCTATATCTCAGATTAGGAATTTTAAGTTCTATCAGATTGGTAATGACTGTAAGACCTTTCTAGTATTGGCTAGGGACTGGACTAATGCACCTTTTATCACTAGTAATACCCAACATCACAAGATTATTAGTAATACTTTCCAAAGCCACCAATTACAAAAGTGGTGGCACTCACGTTAACAGGTCCAGTAGTGTGAAAGTAACTATGAAATGAAAAAATGCATACATGGAGTACTGGGTTTGGATTTTCCTTCATAAAATTCTTATGAAATGCTCTATGTCCATATAAATAATACTCAAAGTGGCATAAAAAAATGTAGTGCAGATAGAAGGCAGGTAAATGAAAAATTGAATTCGTGGAATTTCCAGGGGGATCTCAATTTAGAATACGGTAAAATTCTTTAGCATAAGTACAGATTTTTCCAATTGTAAACACTCATTGTAAAGACTAGCTCTTGCACAGTGCTGCACTCAGCTGTGAGGAAGCTCATCCTTGGAGCAGATACCCTTGTTCTTCAACAAACCAGGGTCAGAAGGTGTGTAAGTTTTTAACAGTGTGTGGTAGCAAAAATTAAATGAACTGCAAGTGAAATAATAAATAAGTGGTAAAAGCTTGAATCAATTAGCTTGAGGACTCTTGAATTAACAATCAAAGAATAAAGGAGGGAAATACCAAAATATGACATAACACTTAAACCGGTAGGTATGGAGTTAGTTTGGAAAAAGACATAGAATAACACAATGCACAAATGGGTAAACAGGCAAAGTGAAAAAAAAGTTCAAGTATTATCAGACTAAATTATAACTTAGCAGGCATATGGTTTACACTGAAAACAATGTGGTTTCCTTCATTAAATTAAAATAAGACAATGAGAAATATTTTTGAAAAATAATATAAATGTACTTTTCATTTGTGTTTATTTCATACCAAAAAAATCTCATACCATATGCTAAATACTAGCACTGTTTTATTCTGTTTCCTTTCAAATTAACAACCATAGCCTTAGTCTGGATCATAAAAGTATCGGTAACATCATCCTTTTTCCTGAAATTGTTGAAGCTATTAATTCTCTGACTGGCAATCCCCTATCTGTTCTATCACAAACTTCCAAAATTCTGAATGCAATGAATCTTAAAACAGGTAAAAATGTTTCCACAACTAGGATCCTAAGTCACTTATTCAGAAACAGAAGAGAGAAAACAAGACAGACTGAAAGCATCCATCCCGTATGTTGATGTTGGCGTTTGGGCAATCTGCTGGCAGAGGAATGGTTTGGCTTTCTATCTGCTCAGGGAGTAAAAAGAATTAAAATGAAACGCACACGTTGTACATCCCTTCCAACTGAACTATTCTATAACCTTGAGGAGACTACTAATAACTGGACTATTGGGTAGATTCGGCAAACTAAATACAATAATTTCTAGACTGCAGAACACTATGCCCTGTTCCTGTGACCCTGTTGTCCACACTGTAGACCTAATTAACCACTGCTCTGTTTCCAAATTTCAGCTCCTGGAAATCATGGAACAGAATGACTGGCCTGGCAAGGTGGGAAGCACTCTGGGTCCCAAAGGTTAGATATGGCCTTCAAGATATGCATGACATTAATTTTATGGCTCTAGATCCTGTCTTTTTTAACTCAGTTCACTATTTGCTGAATTCTGAGTGACTTTCAAATATTCTTAAGATGATGAAAAATCACATTCTTAGGCCATTAACCATTTACTTAAATAAATAAATTTCCAGCCCTAATTCTAAGGCTCTCTATTGCCTTGCAGTTGGAAGAAAACCTCATTTGCAATTCCAAACGCATGGGCTTTTACTTATTTTTATAGAAAATTTCAAGCGAAGTACTGTTCTTAAGATGTATTAAATAAATACAAAACACAGAAATAGAAAGGAAAATTAAGCTCTGCATGCTGATAGGTTCCTCTTCTGTTACTGTGGCAACCACAGTGGTACTCAAAATAGACAAGGTACTTTGTCGTCCTGTCAGATAACATTTAACATTTTATTTGGTTTGTACTAGCTGGATCATGGAAACTAAACCCTCAAACAAAATTAAGTTCATATGTGCAATAAAGTATATGAAATAGAAAATGACACACAATTTCTAAAAAGGAAAATAATAAATTGTATCTGAATGCTAAGGTCTTGCATTTATTGATTTAAATTAGTTGGAGAAAAGAGATTATAGGTATTTCACCACTGACTTAACAATTTGGAATTTCTTCCTCATGTGCTTTTTAAGTTTGTATCCATCTATTTGTTTTAGAAGAGGACCTTTTCAGACCTAGTCCCTAAAATAAGCCATCCCTAATAGGTCACTGTTATCTTGGGGCAAAATCTCATAGAAATAGTTGGGTGGGATTCTGAAGCTGAAATACAAGTGTCCTCTGGCTTTGGATAGATTAAACTCCAAATCTCCTTCCACAATGGTGGAGGGATTCAGATTCAATGTCATTCTACACAATTCTAAACCATATAATCAACTTATCCAAAATACTTACCAGATGATACACAAATTTCTTCAAAAGCATTTCAAAATTATTGAATCCAATTAGAACCATAGTTAATGAACTACACGTTTATTTCATTTTAAGGGATAAAAAAATTTCCATTAGTTCTTGATTGCTAACAAAACAGCAGTTTACAAAATTCCTTTTCAAAATTAAAAGTGAGTTTTACATGAGAGAAGACAGTTTAAATTCTGAGCCAGATTGGGATTTGGTCTATTGTAGTTATTTTTTTCCATAAAGAAAGGTGAAAAAGATACTAATGACTAATGGTAAGCAAGCACTGTATGATTGCTCAGTCAAAAAACATGCAGAGCAAGAATAAAGATTAACGTTTACAGAGAATTACCCACGTAGACAGAGTATGTTAAATCAGTATAAACATAATACACTCCTAATCATTGATAAAATATTTAAGGTCCCTACATTCCTTTAGCTCTCATAAGCATTTCATTTCTAAGATAACAGCAAAAACTAATTAAAATGCTTTGGTTTTATTTTCTTTTTTTTGTACCAGTCCTGAAACCAAAGCACAGTGTGTGCACCACTCTAATGTGTCACGTTTCTTTCAACTTTTTTAGACAGCCAGCAGCAAATAAAGATCACAAAAAACTATATTCTTGCTGCTTTCTCCTCTCTATTATACCCAAATCAATCCTAAAATACTTTCAACAGTAATTTACGTCTACCCAGCAAAATCATGATGCGCCTGTACTACAGATAAGTACAACGTATTAGCTTTAACACAGGAATTCAACTGATAGTACTTGGCATAGGACATGATAATAGGAAAGACATAGCCGTGCTGGCTGCAGTGCAGGGCAGTAACGCAACATGCACCAGCCCTTCCTGCCTGCCGCTCTGCAGCACTACGTCCTCACTGCTGCTTCAATCCACATCGCAGAACGAAATCAGCCTCGGTAAGCCTACTCCTGCTACTGGTGACACCTTCATTTTAGGGTGCAGACAAAGTGAGAAACAGGTTTTTATAATGGCTTCTGAAGGGCTCAGCATTTGATAATATCTGTTCCTAATGCTGTCAGTGGTAAAAGTACCTCTCACCTCAGTAAGAACAGCACTAGGTCAATCTTGAGCTCTTGGGAGAATGTCATTCTGATGTACCAAGTAAACTGGCTGTAAGCAGGAGGCAGGCAGAATACTTCTGAATTTTATATAGACAAAGGGCTTGAGTTTTTCTTATATATGTATGGGATGAACTTAATGCCCTAAACAGGCACCATATGCATTATAACCTTTTGCAGATAGAAAAAAATAAAAGAAATAAAAAAAAGATTTTGTATAAAAAAAGATCATACAGGGAATTTTGTCCAAGGTTGCGAACTTGGGACATTTGCATTTTTATGTTTAATCCTCCTAGGATGAAATAAACTTGGCAGTTGTTAAAAATTCAGCCAAAATAATAAACCAATTTATTAGCCTATCCAAATCTGTGGACACAACCCTCAAAACCATTCTGATACCTTAAGCTCAGTTATACGGTCTCACAGAGTGCTTGTTAGTATTCACATCCAAAAATGTGAATCTTACATCAAAAGGTTGAGTACTCCAGAATATCTCAGACACAGAAGAGAGTGTTTTGTTTGGCTTTGAACTATTCATCCTATCATTTAGTCACTGGCCTTTCTGAGACTTTGCCTTTACAGCCAACCTCAATCTACAAAGTCCTAATACCACCAATCATCTAGTAAAGTTGATTGAAATTGCATGCAGACACCACTAGTGAGAAACAGCGAGTGGAGGAAAACCCTGATCAGTAAGAAGTACTGAAACATTTCAATGAGAATTGTTTTGCTAGAAATTGACACTACAGACATCGAGGCTATTAATTGATAATGATGGTTTTGCCTTTCAGTGAGATTTTGTTTAGTTTACTATATAATGCCATGCCTTAGGAAAAATCAGAATGAAAGAAACAGCCAAAGATACTAATTAAATATTGTCAAGCCATAAGAAAGAAATTAAGAAAAGCTAAGGCAGGACAGAGGTAGCAAAAGGCAGACACAAACCAAAAGATCAGATTTTGCTAAGTTGAAGAATGCCAAAGAAGCAACTTGGATGAATCTGTGGAGCTCAAAAATAAAATAAAAATCAGCCAGATGTAGAACTTAGAGAACAGATGTTGGATAAAAAAGATTAAAATTCCAACATTTTTAATATGTATTTATACTTACCTTATATCATGCCTTTACTATTGAACATTTTAAAATACATTATAACAGCAAAAAGCCATTTATATGTGCTTATTATGGTGCTTAAGAAATTCTTTGGATTGTTTAGTCCTTAACTAACATATATCAGTAACCTATATGAAGTATAAGCTTACAGTTTACTAAAGTATGTTCTATAGTGCTTTCTTCCTAAAGTAACTTATAATTGAGCAGGCAGGAAATAAACAAGACATAAAACAGCTAATATGACAGCTAAAAATTATTACTTATAGGCAAGAAAAGGTTTGGTTCAGTAAATTTTTGAAAGGGAGTAGAAGAAGCAGCAATATATGAGCCTTCAAATCCCAGTTGCTATAGCAACTGGTGATATTTTTAGCTATCATAACAACTTTAACAATTGTAGAGAATATCACTGCTGATCTCTCCCTGTTTTTCCAAATAGAAGTCCATATGTTGCTGCAGCACAGGAAATTCTAAATAGTGTTTTGCACACATAAAGTATCTTGCATGTCATTTTGCCAGCTTCACCTTACAGCAGGGAAAAAAAAAAAGAAAGGAAAAAAAAGAGGCCAGAATCACTTGGCCTTTTAATGGGATTAAAGAAAAATTATGACTAAGCCTTAAACCTTTATAGAATTCACTCCATTCTGAATCAGTCAGCCATTTTTTAATTTTTTTTTTCTCCTTCAGTAGGCATTGGTAGTCACAATTTTCCCAATTCTTTGTCCTTTTAGGTCACATATGCTTCATTCCATATCGTTCCCTTCCTATTTTCCAGCTCACAATCATTTTCTAAGTATAAATTTAATTTTACACAAATAAGTCACTAGAAGGCGGCAATCCAAACCACGAAACAAAATTCCCCATTAATTTTCTTTTGGATCAGGTATAAGTAGACAAGCTATTCCTGGTATAGGGAAAACTCTTCATACTTTATGGAAAACCTTATGAAAGACAAGTTGTCTTTTAGATTGCTTTCAGCTTCCTTCCTGCTTCTAGCCCTCCCTACGGACCGGATTATGGCTGAAATCCTGATTCCTAACACCTGCAAAGTAGGGCCAAGACAGTTGCTTACATCAGTTTATTGCTTTCCTATATAAAAATATGTGTTAAGTTATGGCTTTTTCTTAAGGGTGCAATTTATTTGTTCTTAACCAAATGCACACAGCCCAGGAACCACAGCCATGACAGGGTAAGAGTAGAATTTAACCAGTCTTGCTGTTAGTAATAAAAACTCTAGAATTGCATCATAATCATGCAGAAGGTACAATTAGTATCTTCCATAAATCCCAAGTTAAAACCAAGGCAATCATCGTAAGTAGAGTATGATTACACACCACCTGAATCTTAACCACAGTTTAAAACAAAAGGTAAGATACTGCCTCACCTGTTGCTTTTTCCCTTAAACACAACCAAACGTAATCAAAGCAATATCCTCTGAAACACAGCTTGGTTGCCCCAGATAAATTCCAAGAACGCAAATGACAGAGCCGAAGGGTACCTAGTCCATGCAGTGGGCTGCTGTAAGAGCACTTGTTGTGGCAGAAATAAGAACTAATAGGTGTTACATGGATGTGCCATAAATTACTCCCTGTCTAGCTTCAACCAGAATAACTGTCCATTCTGCTGCACAGAAGTGTAGGCAGTTTTCCTTTGGGTTTGAGCCAGGAAGCAGGAGTAGGAACTGTCTGCGATTCAGGTCCTGTGGGTGTTATGAAGGAGAGTCAGTATTGGGGCGTTGGTTTTTTCATATTTTGCCTGTACTGATAGAAAACTGTTAATGAAATCTTGCAATCCACGGCTAGCAGAAGTAACAGTGAAATATGACTGTCCGATGGGTCTTACCTAACTTTACGTTGGCCCATAATCTTTATACAGATGATGCCACAGAAAGCAAAATGCATTTTAAGACATATATATTTACTATGGGCACAGAAAATTACAAGATGAAAGTGTGTTTTAGGAAAATATGGTTTCTTTTCAGTATGTTTTATTTTTAAAGATATAAAATGCTATTGAAGTACAAAAGAATATATAATTTAGATCCAATTTTATAAACAGTCATAGAGATTTATCTTCTGAAATAATCTGAATAAAACATGGGGGTTTATGTTCTGAATTAAAATGAACAATTAAACACTCCCAGGGAGTCTATTAATAAAATTCCAGGATGAAGCAAAGGCAACAAAGGGTGACAATACTTTGGATGCCATCCATGTGCCCTCACAATTCCCAAATTTATTTTTTTTTTTTTTAAACTTCTAAGTAAGCAAAGCCCAACTCAGTTATGCAGATAATGCATAACCCAGACTGAGAGGCAGCATGCAGTCATATTGCCCTAAGAGGCACTGTGAAAAGGGATCTATAGTGTTTAGTATCTCACAGTTTATTTTTACTTTTCTGGGTGAGAAATGCTATGGCACAGGGTACACAGCCTGCAACCCAGCCTGCACCCAGCAGCATCTTCTTACAGCATCTGGTCAGCAGCCAAAGGTCTATTCTCATCACCCAGAACTAGAAACCCGTTATGTCCCAGTTGCCTTGGTCTTACAGTAGTGCTGAGCATAGCAATCTGATCTGTTGCAGAAACATTGGAGAAACCCCAAAGTCAGTCAGACTGTCCACATGTTCAAGATCAATCCCATAGTCAAGTATCTTGCTACAGTAGGCCAGCAGTAGGCCAGCACGCTCAGCATCTTTCAGCTTTAAGCCATAGCTGCCCTTTGCCTTTCAAATGTATGGCAAATGTAGGTCTGCAATTACCTTTTGCCACCCTAAAACTGTATTTTCTGACTTTTCACATGGATTAAATTTAACTATTTTAAAAAGTTAAATTTGGCGCAGGAAAGTACAGCAGAAAGAGGCCCATATATTTCTTGAGAAATATATTCAAAGACCAAGTCAGCCAAACTAATTTGTGGAGCTCAGTGAACAACATAATACAATAATTATTTACTGAACTTCAAAAGAATTCACTTTGGCCCTGGATGTACTTAATCTGTTTAATTTCTGAAAACAAAATGCTCATCAAGTTTTACTTCTAGGAAACAATTTCTAAATGCTGAAGAACAAATTAGGGCTTTGGTTGCCTCCTGCACCAAGCACTACTCTTCTCTCCTTTACAATAGGCACTACTTCTTGGATGAATTCTTACATTTAGAAGCCAATTCTTTATCCCAGATGTATCTGTGTACACAAGTAAGGCAGGTTTATCAGGAAGATACATGCACATAGCAGTAAATTAGTGGGGAAGACACCACATCATCACACATGATTCAATGAGCCAAAAAATAATCTGACCTCAGACTTTACAGTCAGATAGCTCTACATGCAAATATACTTATTTTGAGTAACATGACTTTAAAATGTATGTGCTCACAAATTAAATCATAAAGTAGCCTAATTTTAATACTTGTGTGGTCAGGAAATGAGGAACAGTACAAATTTCCATTATCCTGTTTTTTGGTTTTTGTTTTTTTTAAGATCTAAAGTCATGCTGCTTACTTAAAGCTACTTTTTGAAGTCATCGGGTAACTAGAGAGCAGCAGTACCATATGATTTAGGCAAGAAGTCAGAACTAACAAGCATAATAAAGATGGCAAATACTCAACATTTCATTTTCACAGCAAGCTGTTTGCAGTCACATTTATGTGAAGACAGAAAATCACTTCCCAAAATATGTGTTCAGCAGATTTTAGTAAGTGCATCTGAGAAAGCAGTAATTCACATTT